AATTGACCCCTGCAGTGGCCAGCCGTATTGCAACTTCAGTAACAACTCAGTAGAGTACTTTCTCATTAACGGCAAAGGTGAAGAAGTTGTAGATTTGACGAAGAAGAAATATAGGACTGAGTTGTAAGTCAGCGCTGCCAGTCTGTCTCCTTTTGTGTGCATGTGAGTGTGACTGTTCATCCTCGCTGTTCCATCAAAAGCATGAATTACCAACTTGCCTAAGCATCGACATTATTAAGAGTACCAAGGAAGCAATGAAAGTAATAAACTGAAGATCTTGTCTTGAGAAGGATAACTGAAACGAGGTGTCCAAAGCATGTTGAATCATTCACAGCCATCGTGAATATGTTCTAAGCAGTTCAATGTTCAGTTGAATCTGTCTTGTAGAAAGAGGAATAAAACGGAGACACTTAGAACACAACACGCTCTCCGCTTAAAGGGCAACTCCGGCCAAAACTCAAAATGAATTAAATTACTGGTATCGCTTTAGTGAAACAAAATACGACCCCAGCCAAAATATTACGGCCGTGGGACGCCGCATTCTCAACTAATGCCGATAATAAAAATGCGACCCGCCGCGAGCCGCTGCTCCTTAGCGGGCGGGCAGCGGGTTGCCGATCGCTCAAGCAACATTGGACCCGTGACGTCATAGTCGTTCTTTTTTTTTTTTTTCCGTTCCGGACGGGCGCGCGGCGCACCCGTTGCGCGCGTTTCTTTCTGCCGCTACCACCGCCACTTCGGCTTGTGATTACGTTGCTTTTATCTGTAGCCCGTGTAGCTTCGGTATAGCCTTTTGTTTATTTGCTTGTGAGGACTCCAAGACTCGTTTTAGCGAGCAACTCGGTGCGCCCAAGACTGCCCAGCTCTTCCTCGAAAGATGCCGAGTACAACTTGTAGCGCTGTGGGCTGCTCAAACAACCCGCTGCGCAACCCGGAGGTGCTTTTTCACAAGTTTCCAACGGATCGGAAATCGGAGAAGGTGTGGGTGAACGCTGTTCGACGAGTGGACTTGGAAAGCCTTGGACACAGACCCCCAGATCGAAGCTCTGCTCCGATCATTTTTCGCCGGAGAGTTACGAACGAAACCTACGGGTGTTGGTTGCTGGTGGCTTATAATGAAAAGGAAAACAGAATGTTCTGCTTTGTGCCACTGCTTCTTTACTACGCTATCTCGTGAGTAATACAAAGGTCCGTAACGACTACTAGCGAACAGCCGGCGCGTGAAGCTTATGCGGTATAAACCTTCGCCTCCCAATCGTTCGAACCCCTTACGCAGCAGTATTAATTAACACTGGCCTTGTGGATACCACAAAGGACTTTCAAAAAATCGCGAAAGTTCGGATTTGTAAGTTACAACTCTAATTTACCCGAGTTCGGCTGGAGGTAAATATAATATTTAAAAATGCAAAAAAAACAAAAAACAAAAAAAAAACACTTGTTTTAGTCAAAAAGTTACGAAGGAAAGCTTTTAAGATCCTACGTATTCCAATAAAAAAAATTGTTATTGCGGGGGGGGGGGGGATGTGGAAGGGAAAGAAGGTGTTCTCACCTTGCTAACGTTCTCTGTTTTCCTCTATCACCCACAAAAACTTTTGCTAGCTTTGAGAAGAAAATGATTGCCCAAAGAACTTCCTTTACTTTCTTTTCTTTTTTTAGTGCGGCAATTTATTTTATTTTTACAAATTAGATTCACTACCTAGCAGTGGAGTCACGAGGGTCAGCGGCACCCGGGGCGGCAGCCCGCCGCGACCCCCCCCCCCCCCCCCCCCGCTCTCGCGTGGCCTGCCGCGACTCCCCCCTCCACCGCTTCACCCCTCCCCCTCCCCCTCCCCCTCCCCTCTCCCCCCCCCCCCTCTTGTGACGCCACTGCTACCTAGACGAACTTACGTGGTGAATTAGTGTCATAGCTTAAAAATTCGGCTTTTACGCGCCTGAGGAAAAAAGAACGAAAAAACAGACGTCTACAGCTTAGCACACGTCTGTTCAAGCGTCGCGGCCCGCGCCGGAGAGCGTCAAAGCCTTGTGTCTGGGACTGACCCGCAGCGCGAAAGCAAGAGGGCCCCCTGTACTGCACGTCACTGGCAGCGCGGCGTAGATCAACGCCGCTCCTTCCACGGACTCCCGATGACAATTTAGGCTTAGCGACGAATACGTGAGATACGTGAGACCGCACGCACGCCGATAGCTGTCGAGTACGCACCGAACGAGTTCACACGTTTTCCAGACGCTAGCTTTTGGGTATACAAGCGACGAGTACGGCACGGCATCGCACGCACGGCGGCAGCCGCCGAGCACGGCACCGAACGAGTTGACGGGTGTTCCAGTCGCTAGCTTTTGGGTATACTCACTAGCTCTTGCTACATGTGCTGGATAACTACCACGTATGCAGAATTAAAACAAAATCAGCTTACCTTCTATTTTTAGACGACTAGCGCAACAGAGGTTGCCGTAGGTGTCGCTTGGCCTGCGTGCTCGTTGAACGAGAACGACCATGACGTCACGTCCACATAGCGACCGATTTCCAATGTTGCCGGAACCTCGAGCGGCTAGTTTCGGTTTTGTCGGCCGCGCCCCAAACATAACTTTGAGACGTCGATATCTTTAAAACTACGCACAATAACGAGAAAAAAATTACACCTTTCAATTCAGGGACGCTGACTGCACTAAAAACTGTCATAATCCCAAAATCGAAAGTATGGACCGGAGTTGCCCTTTAAGAAGGTGGAAACCCTTTAGACTGCATTTTTGGCAATTTTCTAGAGTGAACTTTCTGAGCGTTTCCACAAAATCAGTAGTCCTCCAGGAGCCGGTTCGGATATTTCAACAGCTGTAAATTTGACGAGTTCTCTGGTAGGATTTGCCAATTAATTGGGATCTCTGTTTGATATCTTTAAGGCAAAAGCAGGTACTCATGCTTAGCACAGCGCAGTATTTTTAGGATCAGCAGAGAACAGTCTTGTCATGATCCTTTTCGGGTTTATCCCTCTTGAAACGGATAGTTCCAATAAAATATGAACCCGGAAGGAAAGAGCATCAGAGCTAGGAAAACGTTCGTCGTAGAGGCATACAATGGTGTACTTGATAATCTGTCCTCCGTGTTGCAAGTGAGAAAATCACCTACTCTGCATGATCTCCGCCAAAGGTTCTGATTTTTTTAAACTGCTGACTGAAGCAGAGAGCAATCTCTTGAGCAGCAGGATCAGAGGTTGATGAAAACCACAAAGCCAATTTATAACCAGGTTTCTTTTTCTGCCGACAGTAATACAGTTTTCAGATTTCCTGCGAAGTTTCATATGGCAGGAGAACGTTCCATATGCTAGTGAAGTTGCTGCCCGAAAAAAAAACTTATTAATGCGGTTATAATCCTCATTGCTGGTTCAGGTCAGAGCGAGCAGTGGTCAGAGCGAGCAGTGGTTTTTTGAGCTCACTGATAAAAACTCTCTTTTGTTAAGAACTTCTGGACGTGAAGCTGAATTCTCTTTCTATCATGTTCATTGCAAGTGACCTTTTTTTGCAATTTATGCTTAAAACAACCCATATCTTGGTTGGCCAAAATTAAGGCGCGATGAATTTCACTGTTGCATATAAATGCCTTATGTGATTTCTTTATGTATCCAACCCCATGTTATCAATGAAGTGCTTAGTTGTGATCGCGGAGTTCATAGCTGTCAGTTAGTGTTATGATTTTTCTTCATATGACGTTTTTTATTTAAAAATGTAAACGTTGGCATTCTTTAATTTTTTCTCAGTCTAAGCCTGGTTATAATCGGTTTTCTTTATTTTCTTCAACTCTGGAGAAAAGGTCCTCTCAGCAGTGTCGCGTTTATTTAATCTCGTTTTCTACCGTCTCATTGCTAACGTAAGCATTTGCAAATATTTGTTTGTGCATTGGGAAACACCAGCACATTATAATATACATTGGGCAGGTATAGCTCAATGCATTTGACATATGGTGTATCCATTGTGGGACATGGACAATTCATGAACTATGATGTTTGTGAAGCAGTTTAATTAATGAACAATAATGCGTTCTCAAGCAATATAGTGACAAAATGAAGCCTAGTGTTAAACAAATAGATTACATAGTATGCGGCATCGCGGTTTACACCAGCAAACGTTTATATCATTACATTTTCTTAATCATGATACATTTTATTAGCTTAGTCAGATGGAAAGTGGGGAGATGCGCATTAGCCCAGGCACCTGATATTCCGTAGTCCAGCCCTGACCACGGAGTCTAGTGGCAAAAGGCGTCAATGCATTTTTGCCACTGTAAGCGTTTGATAATAACCCAATTCCACTCCTACTCCTTACTGGTGAGGCAGCTGAATTTAGGCGGATAAATAATCGGTGCTTCGACTGCATGGCGAGACAGTCTAGAGGGAAACATTTTTAGGGTGTCTGTGTGTATATATAGTAGGAATACCTTACGTTCTAGATTTTCTTTTTAGTTGAGTTTCCACGGAACCCAAACATGTATGATGCTTCTTTAGATTGTTAAGACTCTAGCCTAATGTTCTTCTTCACCCTACGAATACAGACGGAACACTAAGGGCCGCTGCGCAGACAAACTGCTTTTTGCGTCTGGCACTTTTTCGCCCCGGTTGCCATACTTAAATAAAACTATGCGTTCCTCGTTTGCCTATTTTCCGGGTTCTGAGAAAAGCTATAATAATATAAAGTATCATTCTGTTAAATGGTTCTTTCTCAAATATACCTCACACAGTAAAACCGGAGCTCAACAGTCATACGGTTGAAATCCAGCGTAGTACTCAACTATCGAGCCGCAGCACTAACGTATGAACCTGTGGCGACACTTAATTTTTCTTAGTAAAGACCTGATATTGGACTAAAACGCATCATGTTCTGAAATAGAGAATGGATTGTCACGTGATAGAGTGTAAACAACGGACCGAAGCGTGCGTGGAACTTTCGCCATAAAAACGTGCGTTTTTAACTAGGTATCGAATAAATATTTGACAGCATTTTATTTGTTTCAGGTCTCATCCGGGGGACTACAACTACCTCGCAGATTTTCGACTAAATGGTATGATCAACGAAAGCCTTTCATTCACGATGAGCTAACGAACGAAAGCTATTCGGGTAAATATGTTATAACCGTGTGCGCACTCACGAGGGAGCCGTATTTTGGGCACGCACTTTGAGCATGTATCGGACACGAGTGCTTCATCTGCGTTCGGCATGCACATACTCTCTAAAAAAAAAAAGCCCTTGCGTCTACCTTCCCGCACTACACTCGGAGAGCCAATCACCGCAACTTACGGAGGCAGCTCAGCTAATGACGATGTCGAAACTACGTCTAGACCAAAAAATCGCAGTCTGAGTAGTGACATTAAGCAATGCAAAACATCACGCTTGCATTGCTTATTGTCACAACTCAGACAGCGTGTTTGATCTAAACACATGTTTCGGCATCATCATTCGCTGAGCCTGCCTCTGTTAGTTGCGGTGATTGGCTCTCCGAGTGTAGTGCGGGAAAGCGGACGGACGGGCTTTTTTTAGAGTGTATACTAGGATGCAAAACTATTCGACACGAGTGCCGTATCAGTGTGCAGCGTGACCTCGAATCCAGTCACACGCCTCACGCAGGGGGAAATGCCCAAAAATATGGCGGCCTCCAGTGTCGCTTGATGAACTTATGAAAGGCGTCTATTGAAAAAGTTGTTTGGAAGGGGCGGTGCCGCACGTTTCTGCTCTTTGGTCAGTGCCGTAGCAGTGAGGGCCGTAGCGTGTACCGCCCGTAGGATATAAGTTAAGAATGCACGAAAAACTCCTCTCACACGTTCATTACTGCAGTCACTGCTCGCCCGCGTTACGAGAGCGGTCCGCTACCGAGGTAACCGAGGCGCACGTCGTGCCGACGTCACATAATTCGTTATGGCTACTGCTTTTCCAGGTCTATCCGCGGAACGATTCCTTGCCGTGGCTCGTATGTGGTGGCGTTCATTTCGCGCGTTTTGAACTTGTTTCCGACCATAAGAGGTGCTGGCTTAGTGGAATGTTGTCTGCTGGGTGAGGAGTGGTGCACGCGACCCTCAGCGCATGGCCACAAACGGCGGGCTTCCCGATCTTATAAAAATTGTGAGCCATTCAACTCTGTGAAGGTGGATGGTTAGCGAAGCTGTAGAGCAACACCACACATGATTTACCAAGAGACACACAAGAGCACTTCACTAACTTTTTATTTACCGTACAGTATACATACATCATTTTGAAACGGTAATGATGTTTGTTCTGTGATCACGATGATATACACTAAGGGGTTTTATTACAACTTTGATGAGATTTTTTTTACTAAAGTCAAGCCTATACATATAATGCTTCAGATATATAAAAGCTGCTGCTTTTATATATGTAAAGCAGTGACGTCACCCGACTCGAGCGGGAGAAGGCAAATGTTTTATCGGGCGTATCTCCCTTACCACAGGTTTCGACGTCTTTCCTTATCAAATGCATATCGAGGTGACCGGGCGGCGTATATGCATACAATGGAGCGCTTTTACGTGCAAATTAGATTCTGCACACGGATACCGAAAATGCATGGAACACTAGCCATTTACAGCTTCGGTGTAATACATTCCTTTCCTCCCTGCGTCATATGCCCGACCTTCATCACAGACTCCTCGCGGGCATCCCTTGCGCCTCAAGCGTCGATAGCACCTCCGGCGGAACCCGAGCGCGGGCGCTCGGGCGGCCGTCCCTCGACCACGAAGCGTCAGGAGTGGCGTGCCCGGCAGCGTCAGTCCCGCGGACGCCAGCGCAGACGGCCGGACGGCACACGGAGGCACCTCCCCGAGCTGGTGTACAGTTTCGGCAACCAGATGGCACCCAGCCTGTATTACCGGGGCAGCGAGTACCGCACCGGGAAGTACTCGGGACACGTGGACGTCTGGACCATTCCAAGGCAGTCGCCAGTCCACAAGCCGGCGCTCCAGGAGGACAATCGCATAGCCAGAGGTGTGCAAGGACAGCGTACGCTTTAACTTGGCGGGCCTCGTACTCTTCGGCAGACTGTGCTTCCCTTCCATAGTATCCAGATCATTTGTTGTCAGTAGTGCTTATAAATAGGATAGTGTAATCCAGTTACGTTATGTGCTTTTGATCTGGTGAAAGCCTTGCTTGAACCGGCGAATGGTAGCCTTATAAAATGTGCCCTTGCTAACAAGTTCAACGACGTTTTGTACATTTTGTACGCTTATTTGTGGATGGGTGTATAGATTTCTCATCTAGAGTACATCCCTTTGTGTTAACAATGTTTTTTTTAGATAATTAGCTGGTCACCTCGGGATACAAACGGTTAGAGTGTATAGAGTTGGAATTGCAAATCTACAAGTGCACTAAGAACCTTTCCCACAGTTCTCATTGGTAGACTAGACTGTATAGACTGTGGATTGCAAGCCTTCAAGAATTCTATTGAACTCTCCGTATTAACGATATATTAACTTTGTTTAATATGTTTCTCGTAATATTGGACAGCCCAATTGGATTCAAACGGGTCAGACCCAGGATGAAACACACTGCTCTGGAAAAATAACAATTCTTGTAAGTTAGCACTTTATTGTTACAGCAACATGTAATTGTTTATTCGTTGTTGTCACCGCTCTCACCTGAGCAGTTCTTTCGGGAGACAAAGAACTGCTTCCGAACTTTTCAGAGGAGCTCGAAAACGCACCAAAGCACAACCGAATAATATTTTGAAAGCGTCACCACATACGAAAATTATTCAGAACTCAGCTTATGATATTGTTCTTCTGAAACCAAATCCGTAATTCATGTTCACCGTTAGCCATTGACATTACGTAGATACGCACACCAATAGTTACTTGGTTATTTTTTTTTATTTCCTGCAACAAAACTGCGGCACATCACGCTTGGCCGTTTTAACGCAGGATGTGTTTATGGGCTGGATTTTGATGCGAAACGCGTGACAATCGAGTGTGATTAAGACGAGTAACACACAGGCCGAGGGAGCATAAAGCATAAGCAGCCTCAGCAGGCAATGCATAGGCATCCAAAGAGAAGGCATTGTTAGTCGTAAAGGATCATACGTACTCAAAATTAGGCGTAATAATGGTGACACGCGATATTTACCGAGCAGCTTAGTGGGAATAGAACCCACGACGGTTAGATCCATAGCCCCACGCCCTTGCTGGGTGCCACGAGAAGGAGGTAGAAAAGGGGGCAAGAACAGGACCAAGGTATGGCTCACGGGAGACTGCGAGAACAAGTGACGGTCGGCGCGCGCAGCTGGCTCCCGATTGACGAAACGTAGCTCCCCACATGACCCCACAACGTTACGGGACAGATTGTAAAGTAAAAAACAACGTTACTATAGTGGGTCACAGGTTAGGAGTTTAGGAGAAGCTCCTCCCACCTCTTTCCACTTTAGCAGAGCAGACACTGTAGAGGAAGCGACCTCCCCTCCAGCGTTCGCTCTGCTAAAGAGGAAAGATTGGAGCTGTGGTACTCCCGCGGAGGGAGGGTACCCACCTCTTCCCCTCAGGTCATCTAGCCGTCATTTGAAGCGCTATCTAGAGGCTGCATTTTAAAACTGTGTATATTCCATAAGGTACAGCGAAGCGCCATCTAGACGCTGTGCTCCTAAACTTTTGTATTTCATAGAGTACACTGTAGCTACCATAGCAGCCGTCCTAGAAACATTTACGCGTCGAACGAGGGGATGCTGACCTTAGGGGGAGGGGGGGGGGGGAGAGAGAGGGGGGGGTACTGCTTGTGGAGGCAGCGTCTATGGGCAGTTCCGTAACAGAGCTGATCTAGTAACGTTGGCACCAACTGGTAGTGCCGTGGGCGTGTGACGTCACAACTTAGCACAGTAGGATATAGATTAGCGGGTGCGACCAACCTCCTCCCATTATGATTACACTGCTTCAGTTACAACTAGGGGCTCCTCGCAATCCAAGGGCACGAAAGACTCAAGACGCTACACGCACCTTTGGAAGAAACAGAACCCAAACACTTTACTAGGAAGATACATTCTACGCTCATTTGCGTGGGACAGCGCACCTTCAACGCCAAATCCTCCTCGTGCGGTTTTGAAAGCGCCCATCCGAGAGCTCGAATGCGCATCGCGCTCTCGATGCTGTCGCTCTTTCGCACTGCGCCGAGGGAGAAGGCTGCCGCCGACGCACCAAGATACCAGACCAGGTTCGCCAAGACAGCAGAGACTGCTCTCTCTGCTCTCTCGACGGGTTTCTATGACGATAGATGGCCGCAGTCACCCCTCCCAAATCACAGGGGAAAACCCCAAGGGTGTGCGCGTCAAGCCGTTCCAACTACGCAAACGCTGTCGGTGTCAAAGTCATACGATTTTCGTGGAGTAAGATGTATTCTCTAGTACGGATAAAGTATTTGCAGATCCCGTGGAAACTTATCAGTAAAACGTGCTCCTCACACACTCACTCCACTCCTGAATAAATTTACACTTGCTTCGATCATTGTGATCAACCCGGTGAGCACATGGGTGTGTCCTATGTGCAACACATTCGAACCTAGCCAAAGCTCCAGTAACCAAACATAACGAATTATTAGGCACGCATAATGCACGCACGACACCGTGTGTGTGTTCCCCGGGTTTATCAGAATGATCCAAGAGAAGTTTAAATTTCAACTTATCCACATACAAGACAAGAGAAAACTATCCATTAACAAGCAACGGCGATAATGGCAGGATGTTGTAGTTTCAGACCGAATGAGATGTCTCTTCTGCCCTGGTGGAGTCTGGGTAGGGGACCCATCCGGCGCGCCACCTCGCACAGTCCGCGCGCACTGTCTCGACTCGGGGGACTTTCTTGTTGCAGTGGTCATTGCCCCCGACTACGTGGAGAAGGAGTCTTGCCTGCGCTGCCCGAAGGACCAGACCATCTTCGTGGAACCGGGCTTCTCCTGCACCCAAGTGCCTAAGCCCAAGCTGCGGCCTTGTGCCAGGTGGGAAGCAACTGTCATTTGCTTGATGTGGTCGCTTGTCAGAGAGATTGATGAGGTTTCGGACTACCGAAACCCCATTAACCAAAACGACGAAAACTTTTGTCTCCTCGTTTTGTATTTTATTTAACAACATTGTCTAGGTAGTGTAGAGAATGACCCCTTCGAGCTGATAAAGCGCAGCGCAGGTATCAGTGGCCACCTTACATTTATAAATGTAGATTGTTAATTGCTCGAACACTAAATAATGTTTTTGTAACACCTAACGACATGAGTAAGGCGTTTTAATATTAGATATATATACTTATATTGCCTGTAACTACCTAGATTACCTACAGTTGTATACGTATTTTTGCCATATAGTGTCTACAGGGTGCATTTTTTTCAGCTGGACCAAATTTAAAAAAAGAAAAGAAAAAGAGAACGTGAGATAGAGTAATTTGAGCCCTTGCGAAGTGTTAATGGCCATGGCGGCCTCTAGAAGAAAGGTGAAATTAGGTCATTATTTAGCTAAATAACTAAATGTTTCAACTAACTATTTAATTTTTCACTTGAGGGCACATAATGTATTTAGAGGATTGAATATCAACCACAATATGGTCTAGCCGTCTCGTCAGATATGGAGAAAAAAAAAGTCCTAGTAGGCGCTACGGGGTCGAGAAATGTCACTTTGGTAAATGGCGTCCAACCGAAACTAAACAGGAAAGAGCGCCGGTAGAGTTATCGCTCCGCCCTTCCGGGCATGCGATTCGTCATTATCACGGCCGGCTCCACTTGCTCAGGCGAAGCTGGCTGCGATAACGACGATCCACGGGGGCCGGAAGGGCGGAGCGATAACTTTACCATCGTTCTTTCTCGCTTAGTTTCGGTTTGACGCCGTGTACCAAAGTGACATTTCTTGACCCCGTTGCACCTACTACAAATTTTTTAATCAAACTTTGATGGCAGGGCTAGACCATATTGAGATCGAGCTTCAATTCTCTAATTACATTATGCTCGCTCAAGTGAAAAATAAAAAAAATGAAACAGTATAGTTAATTAGCCAACTAATTACCTAATTTGAACTGTTCTCTAGAGGCCACCATGGCCATTAACATTGCACCAGGGCTCACATAACTCTATCTTACGTTCTCTTCCTTTTTTAAATTTGGTGTAGTTTAAAAAAAAAACACCCTGTATAAAGTTTCATCATACTTAGGTGCTACTCAAGTCCGTATTTCGTTTTTGTTCTTTTTTTTAAAGGTATTCGATTCGTTTGCTTTCAACTGGCGTAGTCGATTTGGGTTTACGAATTTGTTGATGCAAACATATCAAGATCACCGAACGATATCGCAATAAGTGCAGGTATGTTCCCCGTTTTTGCGTGTCTACGCCTGGCCAGGCCGCCTCAATGACGGCTTGTCCTAAATATTGGTGATGCGAAACACGAATCACACAACGTGGTGCGTCCTGTTCGCCGAAGCTTAAACTGTATTTGCTTTGCGTAAAACAAAAGAATTCATGACAGACATTCCGTCTGCAATCTGAAGGATGTGCGGAGCGTGTCACATTTAGAATGAACGAGCGATCGTCGTTTTTTCACGTTTTCTTTCTCACAACCGAAACGCTCTTATCAAAATGTATTCCGAGGTGAAATTAGCCAGTCAGAGCACCGACTCCGGTTAAATTATCTGCGTTGTTCAGTGAGCACTTGACTAACCTAGACGGGAGAAGGGGGGGGGGGGGGGGGGTGTTATTGTGCATTAAAGCCCTAGGAACCTGTCGGACAGAGTGGTGCTCACGCCCTTCCAGGTGGACTTCGTTCCCGGACAAGGTCGCCATGACCGCCACCCTAGGTCCACAGCCAGGATCGCTGGTCATGGAGGGCGTCTACGTGATGCGCTTCACTTTCCAAGCGGGTGCCACGCTTCCCCAGAGCTGTCAGTACCAGCTCCGAGTCAAAGGTGCGGAACGATGCAGCAACCCGACAGGTTTGCCCCGAGAGGTTTGGGGCGACTAGTGTACACGTTCGCAAGCAGCTATGCTTCAAAATCTGTAGTCCAGCCACCCGGGTTAGGAAATGCTTTGTGGACGCACCGGTCTGGCAACTGTAGACGCGCCTTAGCAAAGGTATTTCGGGCGATCACCTTCACAGCCTGGTGATAGTTCCAGAAATGCATTGGCTCGGAAAATAAAAATAAAAATTGAAAGAGGTTTACAAATCTCTGTAATGCAAAATTAGAGTGCAGCTCTTGAGGTGGAGGAGGGGAGGGTATGCCCCTACCCCTCCTCCTCCGTACCTTCTCCACCTCCCCTCCTCCTCCATTTCCTGCCCCTCCTTTCCCCTCCTGCTTCTTTCCTCCTCCTCCTCCTACGCACCATCCCAACACCACGTAGAGCTGAAGGCCGCAGCGCTCCTCCAGTGACGTCATACGAGTCGGCTGGCGAGGGCCGCGGAAAAGTGCTGCACTGAAGGCGTCGCACATTGATCTACCGACGTAGTATGGCATTTTTTATTGACCTAGACGTTTGTTAATTGGTCGAACAGGATTTATAAATATCTATATGACTGGGAAACATATTTTGTTACACGGGCAGCATATTAGGACGTACAATTATTGTTATGATATGAAATAACAAGGTTAACGACGTTTTGAGAGAGATGGGTTTTCGTTTTAGGCATCCAAATCTTGGGTGCTTTAATTGTGTTTAGGAGTGAGAAGACACAAACAAGCAAAAAATAAATGGCCTGAAACGTTATTGTAAGTGATGGAACCCGCCAAAATGCATAACAGGAACAATCAAGTTGGTGATGACATGTGTGGTTACTGAAGTCGTATGCGTATCGGAAGCTATTGAAAAGAAGATTATTAAAAAAATGTGGACTTTTGGAGCACGAAAAAAGGTAATGTGTTGAAATGTATTTTTTACCAGAAGGAAACATATGATAATAAAAACAACTGCAAGCGAACTGGGGAGTGTTCATCATAAAGTAAGTAATCCGAGACTGAGACACGAAGACGAAAAATTAAACGGAGAAAGGACACAAAAAAAGAGGGAAACACGCCGCCTAAATCGAAGAGCACAAGTTTTGATTTAACCGAGTGCAGGCAAACTTAGCAAACTTAAAGCATAATTTTCAGTAAGGGGCACATGCAGCTATGGGAGCTTCATGCACGCATCTACCCGCGTTCATTCACACTACAAATAGATGCTGTGAATATAAGTTCTCTCACCTTTGAAACCTTCCAAACGTATATTTTCGTGTATCCATACTTTCTTCTTGTGTCCATCTTGACACAATTCAAACAGAAGCAACTTAGATGCCGCTCTGTAGCTTTCGCGACACTAAGACGCTAAGACGCAGCACATGTACGGCATGTAGACTTTAATGCTGCGTCGAAATAATAATGCTATGGCAAATGCTGCACTGAATATAAAATAATGATTTAGATTTTGGGGTTTCACATTTTCTTTTCTTTGACGTGGAATTAGCCTGAGAAGCTTTTCGTTCATCCTTCCACAATAATTTTTCAGCACAATGTTCGCGCTGCACCAGAAGAAGTTCTTCAGCACGAGCTCACTTGTGTGTCTTTCTTCACATGCGTCGAAGCCAGAAGTCTCGTTGGTAGACAGCAGTTCCATTGTATGTTTGGTGACGAACTGACGCTGGATCCGAACCTTCAGAAACTCTGCCTGCTTGGAGAGTTCTTGAGCAACAACGCAATTGTGTGTCACGGCATTAACGGCGAACATAGTTGGATAAAGGAGCCCCCCTCGATCCAATTCCTTGAGAAGAGAGTAGTTCTCCTGTGCAAGTGAAACCCTGTCGCCGTCTTATCTTCTTCAGTAAGCGCCGCCCTGCATTTTTCACATTTCGGCTTTTTTACCCTGCCACGTAGACTAAAACTGGGAGGGTCTAATTTATCGCTTGTGGCACAGCCACTTCTGTAACTATACTATGTTGCAACTGGGCCGTGGCGTGTCTACTTGTTTCTCAAGCTCCTCCCATCGCTCGTCTTCCCACGGGGTTGTCGGCAACGTACTTTGCAGACGCAGCTTATTTTCACCTTCATAAAGCCGCCTTATAGTCATGTGATATTGCTAGCCAGCCAGCTGCCTGTACTTCCCAAAACGGTCTTCCAAGCTATCAGTTTGAGTCTTTCCCAGCAGGACATAGTTCAGCCCGAGTTCAGTGAAGCAGTATTCAGTGATCCCTACAAGTGCACGGGTTGTTTGACGGAGTGCTCCGTGAGTCACCTTGGTCAGCGTGCCACTGATAAGGCTCTCGCTCTCCCATACGTCAAGCCAGGCGTCCAGCCAGTCAAAAAGACTGCACAAAAAATGCCTATTGGGATCGTCCTCTGCAGAAGTCACTGGTTCTTGAAAGTCGCCTGAGTCGCGTTCCTTTGTTCGGCGTCCATGTTAAAATTTCCTTCAGATTTCGAGATCTCGGCAATTTCATTGATTCCTTTAATAATATGCGCCACAAATGTAGGAACAAGAGGGGGACATAGAGAGTAGGCTACAGGCTCCTGACTGTGGTTTTGAGCACGGGAGCTTGCGCTACAAAGATACGTTTCTAAAAATTAAAAGCGAGAGCTAGCTTGTGCTGGTCGCCTTCGCTGCCACGTCAGCATAAAATTCAACGAAATAAATGCAATAATTAAAAAAAAATAATGTGAAAAGATATGAGAGTTTTCACCCTGGTATGCGTCGATAGAACCAGGTTTTTTTCGAGGAATCGCCCGCACCCATACTTTTCGCAGTTCTTCATCCTTCGGGAACTTAAACACAGACACTTTCTTCGACGACGTTTCATACTTCCCATGGCACCCAGGGATACGGCATTTGTGAGGCATGGCTAACCCGAAAGCCGCTCGTAACTTGACAACCACCACGCGTTAACCGCGATGCGCACCAAGCACAAAAGACATAAGAGAAGAGACGGCTAGAGCTGTGTGTGTACTCCCGCCGCAAGACTTGTGCAAGCCGCCGTGCGCAAAGGAGGCAAAAATTGTCATTGCGCAACTGCCCCGGGAGAACCCTGGGCTCAGAGAAAACTAAAAACAAAAACAAAAAAGAGGCCGGAGCATGCGCCGCTTGCCGTCCTCGGGAAAATACATGCAAGAAAAAAAAGAGAGCGTGTGTTGCGGAGAAGCCTTCCTTTCAGGTCGGCCCACTCGTCGTGAATCTGTAACGTCACAACTCCGAGCGCAGCGGCCTTTGCTCTAAGTGGTGTTGACCCTCCCATCTTCCTTCCCCGTACCCTCTCCTCCTCCCAGCTCTCCCACTAAATTTAGCTAAAAATCGACGCGACGTGACCTCAACAGCGGGAAAATGACGTCACATGACTTTGTGTCACGTCACCTATGAACAAATTTAGTTTCTCCGCTAGATTTAGCGGGAAAATGGACATCTCGTGACCTCAACACTAATTCAATTCCGCGCTAAATTTAGCGGGGAACTGAACTGGTGTTAAGGACACCTGACATCAATTTTCACGCTAAATTTATCGCGGTTACGCCGACGCCGCGAAACCCGGAAACAAGCCCATAAAGAATAGAGCTGTTATTATCCTAGCCCCGAGCCGTATATGTAGAGAGTTTGGCCATTCGTTGGGAAGTATAGGAGACAAATGAGGAGGCGCCATTGGCCGAAAGCGGGCTGGGCGTGTTCCAAACTTCCAGGGCGTCTGCGAAAATTCAAATGTGGCCAACCAGAAGCCGGAAATAATACCCTGGCGGTGGTCGCGAGAGACAAACCTGATAAGTGCATCGGCGTTACTGAAAATATGGTGAACGTGATGTTTCAATCACGGTCATCCAAAATCACGGTGGAAGAGTGCGACTAGCGGAATGATCAACATAATCCGTACGCCAAGCGCCGCGGGCCGGGAATCTGCGTTCCGAGCGGTCACACCCTGTGCGAGCAAAACACAGTTGAGCGGCCGCATTCGTTTTTTACATCTTTCTGCGTGATCATGATCTTACTACGTGTAACTCTTACGCGCCTATTAAAACGACCAAATGTGTTTCTCACTACCACCGCTAGGGGATTCTTTTCGGCTTCTGGTTGGCCAAGAGAGCATGCCAAGCCCTCGTTCTGCTTCTGGCGCACGCCCTGGCACTGGCCGCGCCTCCCATTGACCAAACTCTCTGTGTATATGGCTCTGTCCTAGCCTATTTTATATACTTGATTATCAGACGACCTGCAGACGCCAGAAACAAGATCGGCAGCGCACAGGCGTCGTATTTTTATATAAACGTGCACAGAGAGCCGGTGGACAGTGGGACACGCTGAAAAAAGCAAAGACAGCTCCGAAACGTCCGTGCATTAAAGTCTCTATTGTTACTCAAATCAATCTTAACATCCCAGAACACGTAAGTAAGGAAAGCGGCCGACGAGGCGGCGCTCGAGCGGCTCTGGTGCGGTCCAGTGATCCAGCGGCGCTCCATTTCAGTGCTGCGTTGCCCCCCGCTGACCGCCCCCGACAACGGTGGCCTGCGCTGCAGCCAGGGCCGGCACTGGGGCAGCCGCTGCCGCTTCTTCTGCCTGCGCGGCTTCTCGCTGAGCGAGCGCAGCGTCACTCGCTGCGTGATCAAGGGCCGCCGAAAGGCGACCTGGACGCCGCACCCGGCTCCCAGGTGCTCAGGTGAGGCCGCCGCCCTTCCCGCCTTCCTCCGTCGCTCAAAGGATGCCCGTGCGCCTGTCTAACATTCCCCACTGACAGCTCAAGAAACGCAGGGCATAACGCAGGGCATAACGCAGCAACGTATTATGTTCTCGCTTCGCGATTTGTCCTTCGGAGTTTTGATCCGTTATCGCCGCAATCTCGTTGGCTGCCCACCGATCATAAGATGCTTGGGTCTTCCACGCCCTGCGTTTCCCCAGTTGCCACAAGGCCGTGTATGCGACGTCTCGCACGTCTCGCAGTACTAACGTCCTCGCCTTATGAACATTCAAAGCTTTCCCTCCGTTTGTTTGCATCACAATTCACATCCTCAGGTTGCTTTGACTACCCCCTTCCGCACCTCTTATATAAATCTTCACTTATTTTATTCAAAAAAGTTGTTTATTTTTTTCTTCTTTTTTTGGGGGGGGGGGGGGGGGAGGGAGGGGGAGGGGGGGGGAGGGGGGACGGTTTTTCAATTACCGCTATCCGCTGTCGCGGTGTAAGTTCTATAATAGAGAGGAAGTTTTTTTTATTTGAGTCTCTCCTTCGCAACACTTCATGACGTTGTAATGAGGATCGTATTGTTGTCGTAGTCACTAGGATTATCCTGGGACGACGATATTCAAATGCGGCTAGTAGACTGGACACAAGCACTGCGTGAACACTCGTATGGCTCGCGACAATAAATGCCTCGACGAGCATTCGGGTAGTGGCTCGTGTCAAACCCTTGCGGTGACGGGAACAGCCGAACCCTAACAATGTCTGGAGCTCAGCGCCTGCCATGTGCTTTGCCAACCCCAGCGCGTAGCTATGATGACCTTTGGCGGCATGTCCGCTCATTTGGTCTGCGATTTGAAACGCAAACAATGCCTGTTTTTTTGTTGTTGTTTTTTGCGACTGCCATTACGTGGAGTGTAGAACCACCGCGTGTTCCGTAGGTTATGAACGACGATTCATAATTATATGCAGTATTCAGTTGAAGTAAAACACTTGTTGCAACGCTCCTTTAGAGGGAAATGGCTTTAGGTGAAACTCTGATTGCAGAATTCAAAATAAAATTGATAATGAAACAATCCTTTTTTTTTCTTTGGCTACAGTATTTGGGGAAAACTACACTCTTCACATTCATAAAGCATGCAACAGGCATTACTTATTGTCTACTCCCCCTTCTCTTGGCCTCACCTAATCTGTCCTACCCTAACCTAACCTAAACTAAACTGACCTAACCTAACCTAACCTAACTTAACCTAACCTAACCTAACCTACTTTAATCTAACCTAACCAGAGAGACAAGGATATAATAATATTTTCCTATGGCAGTCCTCTCCATCGGGCTTGCCGGAAGTTGAAAAAAAAACAGGTGCAGTATATCTCACAAGTTGCAGTCCCGAAAAAAAAAAAAAGCCGTCGTAGTCAATAGCCGCTTGGGAACAATCCGTGTAACGTGTAGTGATGCGAGGGCTCGGAAAAAAAACCGGACATTTTGGAAAAAAAAAAACTTTTTTCTGTTTTTTTTCCTGACATAGTATTCGGGGGAAAAAAACGAAACCCAAGTTTCGTTCTTTAACTTTATTAATTAACTAATATTAACAAACCGATTAAGCACATTTCTGCAATGAACGTTAACATTGATATCACTGACCCCATCGAAAAGGAAAATAGTCATCACGCACTTCTGAATTGAGTTTTGTCGGCAGAGCAGGCGGAAACTTAATCACGCTGCACAAAACATAATACATCGTTCAGCCCCTAAGCAAACAAAACAGCGCGACGACGGGGCAAATGAGGAAACACAAGCACCTTGGGTTGTCTGCTGCCTCGCCCCGTCATGGCACTTCTTGCATTGTCTAAAAACTATGCACCAATCATCCTGAATGAGCGTTGCTTTACTGTTCAGTATGGTTATAAATATTTAAGACTTTGGTGAACGCTTTATACGGAGGGAGAAATTAGAATGCTGTCCGAAATTTGTTAGTGTAGTGTGTACGGATGTGATGACGTCGTGTTTCTAAATCATGTATGGCGTGTTTCTCGGTCAATAAATCACTATATGAGACTCTTAACTCACAGCCGAGTCTCCACTACCGCACCAGTATGAACGTAGCTTTAAGCAACATAACAGCAGTTCAAGGGTCGCATGTCAACCCTCGAAGAAAGGATTTGCTGTATGTACTATCATACAGGTAGTGTCATGTTTTAATGCCATGTTAAATAATCATATTCAAAGGGCAGTGAAGTTTAACAGCATTGATGTATTTTGTCATGACCCTTTTCTTTTCTAAGGGTACAACTGGTTCTGCATTAAAGAGTACAGAACCAAACTTTAAACCAACATTGAACGAGGAAGATATGCACGCACTGACTAGATATCTTCTGTAAATTAAGACGTATGTTCCAAAGCAGTGTGTTAGTTAGGGCTACTCTGACACCATGCTTGAGTCACCTCCGTCATCGCATTTCAGACCAGGACTCCTCAGCTCGAGATTGGAGCGAACAAACATCAACTTCTGCCATCTATGTCCTTTCGGTTGGTTCCTATACTTTTGATGTGGACACCGCTGAACTTCAACCAGTTTGGTTCGCACGCAGCGGAGGAGGGTAGAACTTGAAGAAGGCGGCAAGAAATTGGTGTAAGGGTTCAGAGACACACAGCCTTTCACGAAGACAGTGGAATATGCTTCGCCGAATTCTTTAATTCCTTCCACGGCCAAGCACCTGACAAGACCCGGTATTCGGCGAGATTTTACAACACTTTTCCAGCATCGAGACACATCCTCTCAGCCGTCTCTGTGATGTAGTCCATGGCGGGTCATTCCTCTTCTTCACTTAAGCACAGCCCTGTGAACTTTGTGTTGAGCAAATTTGCGGCCACATGTGCTGGACGGCAAATAAAGTTGCGTGTCTCACGCAGAATTTCTGCTACTCTTTCCTTTTCGCCCGTTGCCAAGACAGAGTTTGGAAGGGCCTCTTTGACTTGCCTTGTTACTTTGAACAGGATCTCGTGGACGTCTAAGAAACAACAGCGTCTGACTGAACCTCGGATATAGCACGGGCGACTAACTGGCTCCAAGACTTGAAAAGTGCTTTGCACATCTCGCCAAAAGTAGTCTTCATCTCATATCGTTGTTCTTATTTCCCTGCTCACTTGAAGCTCCGCAGCGATCACAGTTTTCTCTAAAGCTGATTTGGTCTTAATCCCAGTGACATCAAAATGTCCGCCCAGTGAGCTTCAGCTGGTAGTTTTAATGTGTTCTGGTTTCCAGCATAGCACTGTTCTTGCCTCTTAGCAAAGTGAGGAGCAACCACGTGAGAATTTCTGACATACTTGATTACAGCCTCGGACATCTTCTTACAAACGTCTTGCAATGTCGCCATTTCGAACATATCCGACAGCAAAAAGTTTAGTTCATGAGCACAGCATCCAAGAGTAGTGATGTTAGGATAGCGCAGACTGACGATTGTCCACGCGGCCTGCATGTTACTTGCATTGTCGGTAACAAGAGCTAAAAGCTTGTCGGTTCCAATTTTCTCCACAACCTTCAAGGTCTCTCCCGCGATGTAATCTCCTGTGTGCCTGTGATCTTCCGTCTCCACGGCACTGTAGTGCTTTGGTGTAGCCACCACAAATTTCAAGATGCTCTCGCCCCATATACATTGGAGCAGCTGTCTGTGAGCGCAGTTACGCAAAGAGCGGCGTTAACTTTCTCTTCCACCTGCGTCATCACTCGGGCATACTCGGCCTCCAAGAGCGGTCCACCTAAAGAATACCTGGAAGGCGGCACGAATGCGGGCATGAGGAGCTTGAGCGCTTCTCGCCAGTATCTGTTTTCCGTAATTGATTCCGATACTGCAGACCTGGTGTTCCGGGGGCACTTCGGACACCTTGCGATGTGCTGCCGCAAGCGGGTTGCGTTGGGAAATTCGTATTTGGCACAACAAAATCTGCACACCGCTGGCCCCTTATCATTGTTTAGCACGTAAAAGTTCCCCCAAACGTTGGAGCGCGGCCTCACCATGGCGCACAGCGCAAAGGTTTGACGGATCCACGGCGAAAGTCCATTCCCGAAAACGATCCGCGCGAGGTTTCGGAAACGGCGCTGGGGAATCTAAAGCGATATAGCTGCCCTGGCTGTAGCTTCCATGGCGCACAGCACACAGTTTTGACAGATCCACGGCCCACGGCAAGTGTCCACACCCGACTCCGAGTATGAAAATCACGACTTGCACTAAGGGGCTGGGAAAGCTAAAGTGCTCCTCCGGCTGCTCGTCGACACAGCGAATGGCACTAACGGCAGGAACGAAAAAAATGAAAGCCGCTTACAACTCCCTGTAACGCCGAATTAGAGCGCAGCTCTTGAGGAGGAGGAGGGAAGGGCACTGGGGGGGTGGTTAAACTAACCAGGGGGGGTCACGTTACCTTGGGGGTCACGTGACCCCCAATGCCGATGATGTCATCACTGACGTCACTGATGACGTCATCAGTGACGATGACGATGCGGGTACCGATGACGTCATTAGTGACGTCACTGATGACTTCACCAGTGATGATGACGATGACGATGCGAATGTCGGTGACGTCATCAGTGACGTCGCTGGTGACGTCATCAGTGATGATGACGATGACGATGCGGATGCCGGTGACGACATCAGTGACGTCACTGATGACGTCATCAGTGATGATGACGATGACAATGCGGATGTCGGTGACGTCATCAGTGATGATGACGATGACGATGTGGATGCCGGTGACGTCATCAGTGATGATGACGATGACGATGTGGATGCCGGTGACGTCATCAGTGATGATGACGATGACGATGTGGATGCCGGTGACGTCATCAGTGATGATGACGATGACGATGCGGATGCCGGTGACGTCATCAGTGATGATGACGATGACGATGTGGATGCCGGTGACGTCATCAGTGATGATGACGATGACGATGTGGATGCCGGTGACGTCATCAGTGATGATGACGATGACGATGCGGATGCCGGTGACGTCATCAGTGATGACGATGACGATGTGGATGCCGGTGACGTCATCAGTGATGACGATGACGATGTGGATGCCGGTGACGTCATCAGTGATGATGACGATGACGATGTGGATGCCGGTGACGTCATCAGTGACGATGACGTCATCGGGGGGTCACGCGACATCGGCGGGGGTCACGTGACCTCGAGGAGGGGGCCACGTGACCTCAGGGGAGTCACGTGACTTCGGGGGGTCACGTGACCCCCCACGAGGTCACGTGACCTTGGTGGGGGGCTCGCGCGGTGCATTATGGGACATTTCCCATGATGCACCGCGCGGTTACGCCGACGCCGACGGCGACGGCGACGGCGACGCCGACGCCGACGCCGCTCAAGCCGGAAACGGGCCCCTAAGAGCTGCGCTCTAAAACTGCGTTGGTGCTATCGGTTGTTGCCAGATGAGTAGTCAAAGCTCAGCAAATTGACAAAAGTTGTCGTAAACGTTAAAAAAGTTGATATAGTATAATAGTCCACCATAAATTAGCTGAAATATCTTGCGGTTGTTGACCTCTGTCGATATATTTCGAGTCATTACTGAATTATAGCTGTGGAGATAATTTTTCGAATGTTTCCAGACTTTCCTGAAAAAAAAGTTTTTTCGTCGTTTTTTTTTTCGGGCTTCAAAATTTCCGGAAATTTTACATCTCTAGTCCCGCGTGGGACCCAGAGTTGTCCTTACGAGAGCATCGTCGGCGGGAGAAAAGTGTCGTCCGGTTTGCGTATTCGGGAAAGCTTGTGGAGTAAAGGGCTGTCCAAAGATTTATTTAGTAAAATGTAATAGTATTTGTTCGCTGCATGTTTGTCTGCTTTCATTGCAATCGCGGGAATATTATCGCCAGCTAATTCTTTTGTTTTCCTCTTCCCGAAAGCTCACCAGAAGGCAACCGACCTACCTCAAGGACCGAGTGCGGTACCAGTGTCGACGGTTACCTCCTCGTCAGACTCCGTTGGAGTCACCCCTTCCCCGTCGACAAGCACAACACCGGTACAGTACTGCTGTCTACACTTACCTTGTCAGCAGGGTCAGCAGCTTCTGGCGCAGCCTTGAGGTTCTGATCTGGAGCAGTGGGCATTAGACACGTACGTAACGCGTGTCAACTAACATATCGCTTGTAACTCGCTCATCTTTATGAAGAAATCTGGCGGTGTTTTCGGCCTTTGGACGCTCACGCGAGCACTCTTTCCAGACGCGCGAGATCGGGCAGTGGAAAAGGAGTGCGTTGGTATGACCAGTGAACACCTCCTTTACACCTTTCCAGCGGTTGTCACCCAGGCGAAAAGTGCTGAACCACAGGGCTGAAGAAGGCATGCGCTGCGTCTGATATTTTTCAGAACAATGCCCTTGACGAAGCTCAGAACGCCTTTCACAGACCAATAGCCAAAGAGAGCAGCGCGCAGAACGCGACTGGTGATACCAGGTTTTTGACGCATTTATATTAACCTTGGAACGACAAGATTTATAGAAAAAGTACCTTTTATCGAGCAGGTATTTGCACAACTTCCTATCTTGTTACAAATCCCCCATTGACGTCATGCCGCGTTGTTCTTATGACCGCCGCTCCCGGCTGCAGGTCGGGAAATATCCTAACTTTTGCCTCGCGACTACGCGGCGGAATTGCAACATTTCGAAGGAAGAAGATGTGTTTTCTGTCTTGACAAGATAAACAATGTCAAAAGTAGAAGATGCCGATTCTTTCAACGTTAAAATCGTTGCACAGCTCCTTTAAGCAGAGCAGAGCGGCATATTTCTATAGCCAGCGACACCAAGAGCTGTTGTTTCGGCATCGTCAGCGAATGGCGATGCCGAAACTTATGTTTGGACCAAAAAACGCAGTCTGAGTTTTGACATTAAGCAATGCCAAACGTAACGTTCGCATTGCTTAATGTCACAACTCAGACTGCGTTTTTCGGTCTAAACATATCCTTCACCATCGTCATTCGCTGAGCTGCCTCCGTAAGTTGCGGCGATTGGCTCTCCGAGTGTTGTGCGGAAAAGTAGACGCACGTTTTTTTTTTTTTTTTTTTTTTTTTTTTTTTTTAGTGTGTAGCTTGTTTAGTGCTAGCCAAAATGGCTAAAATGGAACAGAGGGTATACCTCCGGCGCTCTACACTATGGAACCGATTGCCACATTGCGACATTAGGAAATTTGACACTCTGTTCCTGCCTCTTTCTTTGAAAGCTTAACGTACACCCGCCGGCAATATGAAGGTGAACACCTTACCTGGTTTCTTGCCTGTTTTACGGCTCCCTAAAGCTATATTAACTCTCAATGTCTCAAATGGTGCGTGACTTGGGGTCTAAACTTTGCGTTCTAGCCCTCTTCTCGAGCAGAACTTGTTCCAAAACTTGCAGAACCGTCAAAAACAAGAAGAGGGCTGTTCACCTTCATGTCGCTCACGGGTGTACATGGGGTTATCCTGAACGCAGCTGGGCCAGCGCATGTTGCCGCGCCCTGTAACACATGCACTCTCCCGCGACCCGCACTCTAAAAAAAGGCTCTGAGTCTACTTCCCCGCACAACACTCGGAGAGTCAATCACCGCAACTTACGGAGCCAGCTCAGCGAATGACGATGCCGAAACGTTTGTTTAGACCAAAAAACACAGTCTGAGTTGGGACATTAAGCAATGCAAAACGTCACGCTTGCATTGCTTAATGTCACAACTCGGACTGCGTTTTTTTGGTCTAAACAAATGTTTCGGCATCGTCATTCGGTGAGCTGGCTCCGTAAGTTGCATTGATTGGCTCTCCGAGTATTGTGCGGGAAAATAGACGCACAGGCCTTTTTAGAGTGCGCGCATGTGGGCGATAAGGAGAGCAGAACGGCTCGTCTTCCTCACTTCCATACACTTGCGCTTGCCTTTGTGACGTGATACCAGGATTTCTTTAAAGCGGGCAGTTGAGTAAGGGGGGAAGGGGGGGGGGGGGGGGGGGGGGGGGGCTCAGTTAGAGAAATGCTACCGCATTTTAAGTCAGCAGCAGCTTCAACCCCTTTTTTGTCTCATGGCGGTCAGACACGGAGTCTCCTCTCGTGTAGATCTTGTCAAATCGATCATATTTGTCTAGGTATAACAAAAAAATCAGCGATACTTTAATGTTTTTTCATTTTTTTTCATTGACAATCAGCAATAGTTTTGTGGTAATTCCCCGATCCCCATTTTGTTTTAATGATATTTTAAATCAATGACTTTAAGTCACCGGTTAATTGAGAGGTTCGTTTTAAACGACTAGCTGTACTTTTTCAAGAAACCTCTGACTCTTTGACCGCGTCGGAGCTATCGCTATACCATGTCTGGTGCAAAGTGTTTTCAGCCGGCGAATCAACCAAGTATGCCGTGTGTCACGCAATTTATTATTCACTCCGAATATCGAATCCTGGCGTAGGTTACTTCCGCCACTTCTGCTTCCACTAAACGGAGAACGCGAGAGCGCTCAAAGGTCAACAGTTGAGATCGGCGGACCAGGATTACGGGTGTCTGTGATCGAGAGGTGAGCGCGCTTTCTTGAATCCAATTCACGAGACTAAAGCGACCAGGTCGTAGCAACGTCCTCAACTCAAATCCGGTCAACCCCCAGCTGTTTGTTTTCCGGGTATCCTACAACCAAAACGTTTCTTTTCGTCTACTTTTCCGCAGAGCGCTCGGCGAGTCCATTACTGCCATCCACGAAGGGTGTTTGGCGAATGACGAGCCCGAATACAGGTTCAACCCAAGACATGAAGCCTGTGATGGGACACTGAGCTTGAGATGGCTTTGCGAAACGCCATGCTCAGCATTTCAGGTCGAAACAGCATCGCCATTGGCCGAGTTTCCCTCGTTCACTCTAAAAAAGCCCGTGCGTGTACTTTCGCCGCACACACAACACTCGTAGAGCCAATCAGCGCAACTTACGTAGGCAGCTCAGCGATTGACGATGCCGAAACATGTTTAGACCAAAACACGCAGTCGGAGTTGTGATATTAAGCAATGCAAAACGTCACGCTTGCATTGCCTAATGTCACAACTCAGAATGCGTTTTTTGGTCTCAACATATGTTCCGGCATCGTCATTCGCTGAGCGGCCTCCGTAAGTTCCGCTGATTGGCTCTCCGAGTGTTGTACGTGAAAGTAGGCGCACAGACTTTTTTTAGAGTCTGGCAAACGTTTCGGAGACGCGCACCCTTGCCCTCTGCCGCGGTGCGCATTATTAGTTGAACTAAACCCACTGATGTTACCAGGGCCGGCCCTAGGGGTGGTTGACTTGGGCGGTCGCTCAGGGCGCCGTTAAAAGGGGGGCACCACCGCGGCTCCATTTGAACGTTTTTTTAGCTTTTTGATTTATTTGACAACGGCGCCCGACACGATGCTGTGTGCTCGACCTGGTAGTTTTTGGAATGCGATTCTCGTCTGACAAGACGCTCGTATATTGGGCCGATACTCACATGTTTACTGACAAGGGGTTCTCGTACCTAGTAGATAGGGGCGTATAAAAAAAAAGGGGGAAAAGGGGGTGGGGGGGGGGGGGGGGGGCGGCACGACCGGAGTTTGCTCAGGTCCTGTACGTTCACGATGCGGAGGAGTGTCCCTTTATTTGATTTTGTCTCGCAGGGCCTCCGAACGTCCACAACTCGGCCGCCGGCCCGGAAGCGTTGGAAGCAGTTGGCCTGCCGATGGCCCAAGAGCCGAGAAGGGGCTTGGCTGCGTTGTGACCACGGCCGATCCTTCAAACGCAGGATAGTGGCCAAGGAGGGAACACGCTGCCAGGAAAAATGCTATTACCCCGAGGATACCGAAACCGTCCACTTCCATTGTGTCCAAGGAGCTTGGCGTGGGAGGCGCGACCTGAACTGCACAAGTACAGGATGAGTTTCAAAACTTATTCGATACGTCTTACTCCTTGATAATTGAGAATTTCTCCTAGTATATTGTTTTTACTGAAATGGCGTTCTTTGGCTTTCCTATTACGGTTAGCGGTGAATTCATTCGATGGTTTACGTGAATACTTCTTTTTTATTTCCCTATATGTAAATGATGGAGAAAACAAATCTAGGACTGGCTATGCGTCGTTTCACCATAAGTGAGAGCGCAGCCAGCACTACGAGCTGGAGGGGACAAAGAATTTTAGTTGATCCTTTTTGGCCCTCCCGCTATGCTATACGCTTGAGCGACGCCAGTATACTGCGCGTGCTCGCTGCTGGCGGAGAATTTGTGGAGCTGCTCAAGCTAGTAGAGGTGCGCAGTTTTACGAAAGTTGCGAAACACGTAACGTGCTTAGCGCGGTGTGCCAGCGTGGGCCTCGCGTGCACGGGTCTTTGCGAGATTAGGAAAAGTCAGCGACAGGGACACAATTCAAGGTGGCCGCCAAGCTGCAAGTGACGGTTCCGCGATCGGGCTTCTCAGGGGCGCATGATATCTTGTCTGCGAGAAGTAGCCGCGACCAGTCCGTTCCGGGAATACGAAAGGTAGCGATTCGTTATACACATAATAATAATAATAATAATAATAATAATAATAATAATAATAATAATAATAATAGTTTATTTACCATATTTATGGTGGGAGCTGGGAAAAAAAGCTTACAACGAGCTTGACTGGTCCCCAGCCCCCTTGCAGGAACACAGCGGTGTCAAAAATTGTACAAAGCAAAGAAGTCCACTAATGCAAAAGAGGAATAAAAAAAAAAGGAAGAAGGGCAAACACTGGGCCGAAAATGCCAACTAGATATCAGCCACACACAACAATGAAGAACATGGACTTGCAATATACAAAAAGTGAACACGACATTATTTCAAAGAAAATATTCACGGATCTCACGTGAGGTGAATGCTAAATGCTAAATTCAACCACAAAAAAAAAAAAAAAAATCTTTGCAATTTTTATTGTGCGCGGAAGATGCGACCTTCCGCTCCGCCGTTTTTGTTGTGAGCAGAGAATGAGCCAATGAAGCGAGCGAGCAAGCGGATACGACAAAAATCCGCGGCGTTTCATTTTCGGTGAAAAGTGAAAAACAGAACAGAAAGCCCGATCACAACGACACGACTGAAGAGCTATAAGTATATACTTTTGTTGAGCGCGTTGGTGATAAAGTTAAATACTAGGAAGAATAAAACATGAAAGACGGACAAAACAACACATCTTTCGACGTGCAACGTACGGGGTTTAATGCCGACAAGTACCGAGCTCTGGGATTCTCAGGGGTGAAAGGAAAAGGGGGTGCCGGGAAAGGAGGAAAGGAGCGGGAAGAGGGAGGCTGTAAATGGGGTCGAATTCATCGGAGAAGGAGTGAAGGAGGAGTAGACCTAGCAGAAAAGACGAGGAGGGGAGGAGGAGAAAAGAGCACCCACCAGCCGGGGGAAGAGGGACCGCATCCCGCTTGTCCTCAGCGCAAACGTCTCATCGTCCGCGTTGCTGACAGCTCCGGTTCCAGGAACCCAACCTCTCTGCCCGTCAACACCAGAGACGGCAACGAGATGTTCCTCTGGGCGCCCCTCATGGTGTACGCCTCCAAAACTTCGAGTGCGTAACGGTTCTTGCTAACACTGAGAGGGCGCGCGGAGGGGAAGGCGGGGGCGCAAGGCGAGCATGCCCTGAGGTGGACCACCATGGCGTGCAGCGACTCGCCTCGACCTTGGTGACCTCCCGCTTGTGCTCGCGGAAGCGGTCGTTGACGTAGCGCCCCATCTGACCGATATACTCGGCACCACACGCGAAGGGGGCAGAGTACACCCGCCCGTTTCACTGTACTCTATGGAACATACAATTTAAAATGACAATAAAGACGACGCTTCAAACGACGGGAGGCGGACTGAAGGAAGTGAGGGGGGGGGGGGGGGGGGGGGGGGGGGGTAGCCTCCACCCCGGGAGTTCCACAGCTGAACAAATCTAGTGACGTTGGGATCCACTAATGATGACGTAACTCACAGGCCCTTCTTCTAGGTGGTATTCGATGGATGGATAGGGCTGAACCCTTTTAATCGGGCGGCGGCTTGCGTCACCTATCCGAAGCTTTTAATTTCAACAATCAACTCCGATTAAATTTACAATTACCTAAGAATGACGTACAATGTACTATCGCGACCTCAGAGCAACTGTGGCCATCTAGCGGGAACTGCTCGAGACTCGTACTCATGTTTGTGCAACAAAACCCCGTGATAAAGCGGATTGCCGATACTGTGGCGTAGCTCTGCGGTAACGCGCCCTCTTCACACGCAGCGGAAACGGGTTCAATTCGCGAGAGCGACAGGGAATCTTTTTTATGCAGTTGGCAATATCACGATGGGCGCCCTACCCCCTATTACGCCAACTACAGCATTTACTGCGACAACGGACGTCATTTCCACTGGTGGGAAGAGCCCATAACAGCTGTCGCCCAATATATTGCATAGCGACGCTAATTGACGTTAACTAAAACTTTCTTTACAAACCTTCATCTTACGCAAGTTTTAGTGTCCGAAAGATCCGCGATAGCGACGTTACGTTATATCTTGTAACGCTATCGTCCGTAGCGGGTTGCGAGCGTTCTACTAAAACTTGAAATCGAAACTCCTCTACCATACATATAGCGGAGATCGTAGCAGACTGCGAATAGCGTAGCCGGGAGGAGACTAAACAACTCTCTACTCTGTTTCACACAGAGTCCGACCCGCAGCCAACGATCCTCAGCAGCTAATCAAGCAGCACCAAAAGTCGCTAGGACCGGCTAAGCCATCAGTGAATGAGTGATTAGTTGAGCCGGTCAGATCAAACCCACAAAGACGACGAGCTCCTGGCGATGCACTTTTGGCGCTGCTTGATTAGCTTCATCGGATCATATACCATTGGCTGCTGTCGGACTTCATAGAGTGTTTTAGTATGGCGCCTGGAACGCGTCTCCGACTGGTATGTTTAGCGTCCTATCTCGCTCATACATCAAGAGTGGTTCCCAAGTGGCAACAAATGACGTCACAGAAACCGGAATGTCATGCTGTCGGATGTCGCGATCCTGGAGGTTGGTCGTAGAAATGCTGGCGAAAAGCAATAGCGAACGCGAGTGTCGCTGTCGTCATGGCGTCAAAGCTTCTGGCTGCTGAAGCTTCCGTGGACTGTCACACCAAATAACGACCTGCAGCAGAACAGGCGTCTGCTACATCCACCATCGCTGCAGAGACACCACCAGGATCGTGACCGGTGACAGCATGACACTTTTATGACGTCACCAGGCGGAAATCGAGGGACCACTTTTTGGACGCGGTCAACACACCAGTCGGAGACGCGTTCAAGGCACCATAGTTTTAGGGAACCGTTTCTGCACATCCGATACGGTTCGATAGGCCCTCCGGTACGAACTGCGCATGTGCGAGTCTTCTCTGGTATCATACGCGCAGTTCGTACCAGGAGGCTCATCGTATACCGTATCGAATGTGCAAAAGTGGTTTCTGAAACTCTCTAATGTGAAACGGAGTTATATTACGGACCACTGCAAGCAGTATTTTAAATACAAGTATTTGAAATGCGCATTTAAAATGCTTTCGATATTTTGGTATTTCGTATTAAATTACCTATTGGGCAATGTATTTGTCAACTGTACTAAAAACTTCAAATTTAGTATTTCGCGTACGTGTATTTCAGATAAAGCCCCAAATGCAATTTTGGGGGGCGCTGCTCTTTGCAATCAAATGTGAAAGGGGCACTCTTCGCGAAGGGAGTCATATGCAAAGAGTATGAAGCTTGCTGCACTTTGCGCAGAATTAACATTAAAAAAAAAACGAAGAGTAGAACGAAGAATTAATGGGATAAGTATACAATCATTGCCTCTTCGTTTGAGTGATTTAAATTTTTTAAACACGTCGAATTACTGAAATCTTGTTTGAAAATGCTTCGATGCATCAACTCGGCCTTTTGAATTAACCTTTGTTTTTTGTGCTGTATCCGCCAAAGAAGTTATGACAAACAAATTTTATCTTTAGTGCTGCAACATTCTTTCCATTTGATTCTTAGTATATGTAAACTCCACTCCTCATTTGGCCAAGGTCTTTTGATCCGGATTAAATTTAAGTCTAAGATGACAGTTTTAATGCGAAAGCATTAACTGGTCCCATCCAGCGAGCCGACGTTAACAGCTTTGAAGCCGCGCCAAACAGCACCTTAAAGCCCGACGACCAGTTCGCGCTTTCCACTTTTCTCCCGCGTCCTCCTCTCCCCCTTCTACCCTGTCTACCGTTGCCGGTTTCCTCCTCCCCCATAGTGAGGACGATCTTCTGCCTTGCAGAATCTCAAGTCTGGTCGTCGGCCTTTAACTCTATTCTCCAAGTGAAGCCGGCTCCCAGCTTTGAAACCACGCGAAAAGCCTAGCCAAACGGCACCTAGTTTCCCGATTGCGAGGGAGCGGAGTGAAGCTGATGGATTTCGGCTTCGGTCCCATTGGCTGGCGCGCGTCATAGTTTCAAAGAACGAGGCTCCCATTGGCCGCTGCGCTTCAGTTTCAACGACCGCCACCCCATGGCGCTGCGTGTTCGCGCCGTCCGCGCGCCGATAACACGAAGCGTTTAAGATCAGAGCGGCGAAGAGAGCGCGCGATCTGCCATCAACGCAAACACGCCGCAGACGGAATAAGGGAGCGGAAGAAGGACATGCATGCTTTCGCATTCACAACTCATAAAAAGTGATTATGTGTACCTCGAACCTTTTTTGGTAATAAAACGTATTTCAAAACGTATTTGAAGATGTTCAAATACGCTCGTTTTATTTGTACATCGTATTTAGATACTTTTCTGAATATTGTAATTGGATATTTAATTAAATACTATTTTGTGGAAGTACTTTGTATCTGTATTTAAATACATTTTTGGGAGGAATTTCCCCATCCCTGTATAGACACGCTAGATGCGCAATGTCACACGTTTCTGCGTTTGTTACCACCGTTGTAAACTAAAGGCAGAGTGAATGCGCTGTGATTATGTGCTTTTAGTTTATGTATCTGTACTTGTGTGTATTCTAGACTTTAAGCCCTCTCTGACTTATGCTGAAACAGCGAATACTCCGCGAATTTTGTTGCGTGGTGAAATTATTGCGAGATATATTTATCTCCTCTTGAAAAGTGTTCTACGCACTGATTACTTGTAATAGTTACTCCTTATGGAAACCTTAATTCCGTACCTTTAAGAATAGTATGGAAAGCTATTAGGCACTTTTACAGACCACTATGTCCAACCTGTCAACTAGTCGTATAAGCAACTCTCCAACTAGTTTTGGTACGAAGTGATCCAGTGATTTACTCAGGCACTTTACGAGGGTAATGAATTTAAATTGCACTCGGCTTCATGTTTTGTTTATGCGTACAACACTGACCACGATTTACGAACAAGGAAATCTGCATTCCTTGCATACTTCTCACCGCAGGGAGGCCAAAGCTACCAGCGTCTGTCGTGTTTCTAACACGTCACGTGTGTTCGGTTTACCTGGAGAGTTCCGCAGTGCGCTCGCGCCACAGAATCTGCAGACGTCTTTTACCTTTGGCCTCCAGTGGTTCGGGTGGAGATATCGGAGTTTAGTTTCTATCTGCATCCCTCGTAAAGGGGGCGTAGTGTTTGGCATGCGCCTGAGGTACTCCATGGCTTTGCCACAGACAGAAGACTCGAAGGCTGCCTCCTCCCGGCCACCCCCAAGCACGCCGAGCTCGAGTGTCCCGGAGAAACGCCGAGGGAGCAGCGAGTGTCCCCCGGCGCTGTGTGCCTTTACCGGTGCAAAAAAGACTACGACATCGTCATGACAGACCCTTCTCACCGGTCTCTCGAATGCCTACTCGACGCGTCACAGTGGAACCACACGGTAGCGCCAGTCTGTAAGAGTAAGACCTTCCGTATCCCTCGTTTTCTGCCAGCTGTTCGCGGCCACTCGGTTCCGGACCTCCACTCGTCCATCGGAATGATTTCGTTGCAGAGACGGGATGTGAGAGCCCGAGCCCGCTGTCCCATTCAACCCTAGACTGCTCCCAAGGCTTGACCAGCGTGAACACTTTTCCCCCGGGAACGACCTGTGAACACGTGTGTGACGAGGGTTTCACTATCCCCGGTAGCCAGCTGGGCCTGAGCCAAGTCACTTGCTCCCGAGATGGAAGCTGGAACCAGACACAAGGACTGCTCTGCGTCGGTAAGTGCGCGCCAGAAGGGGCGCTCCTCGGACCCATCGCTCATAGCTCCTTTTCGTCAAGCAGAAATGGAGGTTCCACAGTTGTCCGAGGGCTGCCGGGACGACACGCTTCTGGTGCACAGTCGCAATGTGTCTTTCCCAATTCCCATCGCCGCGCCCGTCTTCAAAGGGTTCAACGATAGCAACGCAATGGTACACTGCAGCATGGCGGAGTTGAGCGACTATGGAACGCACACCAACAACTGTACGGCCACAGATACAGAGTTAGGGACTGTGTCTTGGTGCACGCACAACATCACAGTGATCGGTGAGTTTTCCCAATCGTGTCACCTCGCTAAATCGAATAATCAGAATGATTATTCGATTTAGCGAGGTGCCTACGAGTCTACTGCACCTCGAAGTAAAATAGACGGTGAACGAATCACTGCAATTTACGGAGCACGTTCAACGTATGACGGGACGCAAAAAAACAAAACAGTCTGACCTCAAAAGTGGATGGTGACCCAAGTGATGATAAATAAAAATAACATGCTCAATGTCCCTGCGCAAATTGCACTTTCGAAACGAAACTTTTTTTTTTTTTTTGCCTTTGTCAGTCCGTAGATCTATGCAGTGATTGACCCACTGGATGAAGTATGACCTCGAATGAATTAATTTAGAGTGTAGCTTGACAGGTACATATATGCGTTGTGCAGCTTCCGGATGCCCGTCGTTCGACAGTGACCCGTACAGCCGAGTTTCCTGTTCGGAGGACCGCAATGCGACGGAGGACATGCTGCATCCAGTGGGCGACGTGTGCGAGTACATCTGTGAGCTCGGCTACGTGATTCCGAGAAGCAGGCAAGACTGGGCCGCAAAAGAGTGCATGCCCAACGGCGCCTGGAGCAATGACAACTTTCACCTTTGCCAGAGTACGTACAAGTGCGCACAAAAAGTGAAGGTTCATGCGGTTAGGCATCCACAGTTTCCTGTTTGGTGATGTAATTATTAGCCGGCAAGCCAAAATCAGTCGGCTTCGTCATACGAGGAGGGACCCAAAAGTAACCAAAATACCAGCGTCCGCTGCTAGCAGCGCTTAGCGGCACCCCTTCCAATACAGTTTGCCGGCCGGCGTCCTCTGCTAAAGCTCTAGTGGCATGTTGTGAAGTTTTTCCCCAAGCGGCTTTGAAATCATTCCTCGTTTTATGCAATGTTTAATTTGAAGGAGTTTTCAGATTCACAAAACGATTTCTTTCCAAGACTTTTTTATACGGGCGAACAGGAAAAATTCACAGAAGGCGAGGTATGGTAAATACAGGGGTAGAGAAGCGGTGTCATGGTTTTGTTTTGCTCAAAGATGCTTGCACTTACAGGGCAGTGTGTGCTGCGGCATCGACGTGATGGAACCATCACTCCCCCTTTCTCTCACATCGGGACGTTTCTGCATTCGTGAGTTGCGCAAGTGTCGCGAAATTCCCAGATAAAACACCTGATTAACAGTTTCACCGCGAGGAACAAACTCGGTTTGGGCAATGCCCGAATCGTTTCGACGTTTTCATCAGTTGAGGAGGTTGAGCGTCGCCCTGAACGCGGTTGGTCGTCCATCAATAATCCACCAGACCTGAAGCGAGGAAACCAGTCGGAGACCTGTTATTTCTTAATAGCCCATTCTTTGTAAGTTGTCTGAATCATTACAAGAGTTTCCGCCGCGGTTTCTCCTAGAAGAAAACAGGACTTCACAGCCCCACGCTGCTCCTTAAAAAAAAAACAAAAAAAACAAGGAATTATTTTAAAGCGCTTAGGGAAAACATTCTCAAACCGCCATAACTTTAGCAGACAACGCCGGTCGGCCAACTGACTCCGAAAAAGTGCCGCTAAGCGTTGCTAGCGGCGGAAGCTAGTTCTACGAACGGCCCGCCCTCCAGAAATTCCTTCAGGTTTTTTTGGGTCCCCCCTCATGCGTAGTTAATTGCAATCATGGCAGGAAGACCAGGCCACCTGGCGCAATGCGGGTTTGCTTTCGGGTGAACGCTTGTGATTGGATGGGGCCAAATACAAAATATTGTCTTCAACGCGATGCTTATTTAACTTAATTTATTAAATACACAGAAATATAGCTGCGTATCCCCTCCAGTGATCAACACAAGCTGGATATCATTGTAAACAGCGAAATAACCTTACCGAAGACCGAGATACCTGTAGTCTTAGTTCAGTAAGTTTAACGTCTCTGCAAATTGAGCATCACATCTGAAATCATCAATGTCTTCGCGTGAAGCATATATTTTTATATAAAATACTATCGGTTACTTATAACCGTCTAAGCTTCATTAACTACAGCTTAAACGGGCATTCACTTAACAGCGTCCGTGAGTGCAAGTGCTTGGGCATTATCATTTTAAATAACTTTTCTGGGGACTCGCACATTGCCTTCGTTACCTCAAAAACTACAAACAAGCCATTAAAATTCAGACAATCACTAAATTTTTAGTTACTTTATTATAAAAGATAAATTCGGCCTACACTGGCATGCGCTCAAGGTGTTTTGATTCTTTATACAGCTCTTGATATTCACGAATTGGAAATGGTACAGAGGAAGACTATTCGATTTATGTTTAATATATATGAACGGCATAACTCTCGGCCCTCATTAACGAAGTAAACAGATATAACTCTTCTTATACACCGTGCAAGAAAGGATACACTGAAATCACTTTACCAAAGCATCACAGGTCTTCACATTAGCACCACCAACCTGTTTAGCTTCTCCACTATAGAGCTAGCACTACCTTCACACTCAAGAAACATAAAAAGGTAAAGCCCCTCGATGTGGTCGCGTTTATCTTGCAAGTAACGTCAAATGCGGAGTGCACGAGGCCAGTGTCTCGAGCGGCCCTTGGAAGCAAATGGCGGCGCAGCACCCACTCGTGGCACGTGTCTTGGCGTGAATTTTATCGAGAGACTTTAGTGGAAGGTAGGGTGCCTACATGTCTGTCTGTCTCAGGGTGAAGACATCCATTGTTCCCCTGAATGTGCCAGTGCGTGACGGTCTCGCGCACTCGGTGCGTGACTTGGGCGGCAAAATGGCGCCTATGTATTAGCCAAAGCTAGACGCTCGAGCTGAGTGACACCGGATTGCGCGCACTTCAAAATGCATAAAAAAACGAATGGGCGGAAAAATGGCTGACATGTCACCACTCAAGCAAACGCGCGTGTGTATGAAGGCACTCTAGTGGAAGGCCGATCACAGCGACGCTTTCGATCGGGCACGTCGCCAATATTCCAGTTTCTTGCTCGCAAAAATGAAAATCGATGGTATACATAAGAAGAGGAAGATAATACTGTAGCTTCATACGATTGACGGCGTGGGTTTTACACGCTGTACGACTGTTTGCAGGTGGATGCTCCCTGATTTGTGTACTATGCACACAAAAACTAGCTTACTAGCTTACAATAGTAGTTTGCTACTATGCAATAGCAAACTACTATGCACACGCAAATTTTGCGCTGCTGCAAGGCTGCCATTCGCGCCTTGCAGCAGTGCAAAATCCCCCCAGATCTTCGAGCACACCTTGAGGCGGCTCTACACACACTTCACCCATCGTCGCTCATCATTCGGTGTATCCCAGGTCATGCAGGGATGGCAGGTAATGAGCTGGTTCAACTCACCCGCGAAATGTATATCCGGGCACCTGTGAACAGCTGGCCTAGCCCCCCGACAAGTGATGAAGCTTTAATCTACCAACGCTCAATCAAATATCACTACAAACAGCTCCGTAACTCTCAGCAACGCCTATACCTTGGCCCCACTCTAACCTCGATGTCACGCAAACCCACATGCTTAGAAAGATCAAAACAAATACTCTTCTGACTCCCACTAGACTCTACCACTTTCGACGCCGTTCCGATCCCTCCTGCCCTAACTGTCCCTCCCTATACTCCAATCGAGGACATTGTCGTCTACAGTGCCCGGTTACTGTATCTACTCCGTTCCTCCCTTACCCCCTTCCTGGAGTGCCTGGCTAGCGTCGGAGCACCTAGAAGATCAAAGGGCCTTGGTCTACCAAGCCATGGACATTTTGAACACCTAATTTGTGTTGCTAAATAAAGTGCATTCTTTCTTTCTTTCTCTCTATAATATTCACCGCATTTTAGTGTATTAAGCTGTCTTGGGCGTGCCAAAGCCGAGCATTTCAAGGATTCACATGATACCCTCAAATGCGTAGCGCACAGAAGTTTATAAGTCTCGTCAGGCTGACATCGAACAATACAGCGGACTAACATCTCGAATGTTCAGACTAACGGATTGATGCCTGTCTTCAAATTCTTCCTTTAGCAGCCAGCAGAAGGCAGCCATTAGCATGTACAGATGATATTGCCGCGCGCGCAGCTGGCCAAGTAGGCAGCGCGCGCGTGGCCTAGCGGTTATCGCGCTTGCTTTCCACGCTGAAAGCCAGGGTTCCATTCCTGGCCGCGGAGGCACTTTTTTGTTGACTCTGTAAAGTAATGTTCTGGTAAATTCGAGAACCATCTTGCTGATTCGAGGTTAGAATGTTCTACGCGCCGAATCTTCCACGCCGAACGATCCACAAACCCACGAGGGTACATAAGGGATTCCGCCAGGCGAGCGGAGTCAGTTTTCGCCCCAGCGTTCGACTCTGCTGCTACGCCGACTTCGACGCCCGCGACGCTCTGTTATTATCTTTTGTACCCTTTTATTTTTGGCACAAGTTCGCCACATTAAACGTTTATTTATTTCTGTTTATTTACTGTTTCTTTAGTCACCACCCGTGACATTTTGGTGGAGGTGCAAGGTACCGCATGTCCGTGCAGCGCAGCCCTCCGAGATCCCGCAGTACAAGTCCGAACCCAAGCTCCCGAGGACCCAACGAAAACCAGATCGAGATTCGATCAAGTCGCCGCACCCAAAGGCTACACCCGGAATACGGACTTTTACCACCCAGGACCAGGCAGCCGACGATGGCCAACCAGTCGCAGACCCCCGCCGCTCCTGGCGTCGTCTACCTACCCGTCGCTCCTCGGACACCGGCTCCATTCCACGGCGAGCAGTACGAAGACGTCGAAGACTGGATTGACCAGTATGAACGCGTCGCCCGCCACAATTGCTGGACCGACGAGCAGCGCCTGCACAATGTCTATTTTTCGCTCGAGGGGACCGCGAAGCACTGGTACGCGAATCATGAGTCCTCCCTGACGTCGTGGGACATTTTCAAGACCGATCTCAAGGATACCTTCATCAACCACCACCGCCGAGAGAGAGCCGAGGACCTACTGCGAACCAGAACCCAGGGCCCCAACGAGAGTGTCACCGGCTTCGTAGAGGACATCCTGCGCCTGAGCGCCCGCGCCGACCCTCGGGCTACAGAAGAGAAGAAGCTACGATTTCTCATGCGGGGTGTGAGAGAAAACATCTTTGGTGGCCTTGTCCGCAGCCCTCCGACAACTGTCGAAGCTTTTGTCGCCGAGGCAACGAACATCGAGCGTGCCCTGCAAGCCCGAGCCAGCCACTACAACCGACTCCCCGACACGCCTGTTGCTTCGACGCTGGCATCTTCCCGAATCGACGACGGCCGCATCCGCGCTGACAACCTTCGTGAAATTGTCCGGGACATCGTCCGGGAAGAGCTCCGGAAAATTCTACCCGACACTGATCGCCCCGCCTCGATCTCCATCGCCGAGGTCGTGCGGGAAGAAGTGCAGAGAGCCATCCAACCAGAGGCTCCCATCAGCGGGGCAGTCCCCGAAGAACCCACGCTAACTTACGCCGCAGTGGCCCGACGGCCACCGCCTCCTACTCGCGCCTATGTCGCGCCGCCCCGACGTCACTCTCCTGCGCCGCAGCACAACCGACGCCACGACGATCAAGTCCAGTACGCCTGCACGGAGCCCCGCGCACCCCGGAAGACCGACGTAT